AATCCACACTGCCAGACCAAGTCACGCTGGCACCTCCTGCTGAGATGGCTCCTCCACAACTGAGTGTGTGCTACTCGTGACAGCGTCCACTCCCTGCTGCCCAGCTGCCCTGCACCATGCCAGGGCCAGCCCTGGTCATCCATCTGATGGACTTGCCCCTTGAAGCCAACTGCAGCAGGATCTGCCATCGGATCGTGGCCTGACTGGAGCTGCAGCAGCTGCACTATCATAGTGCCAATGTTTGTGCATCAAATGGATGTTGAAGAAGGACGGGAGCCGGGTCAATGAAAACAAGTAGCAATTCTAGTGCACACTTTTTTCAGGGCCATATGGACAGGGGAAAAGACAACATTTGCTTTCAGTGAACATCCTCAGGCTGAATTATTCAAAGAGGTGGGGGCACTGGAGGAGGCAAAGCGCACCTGGGCAAAAAGCTAGCTAATCCAGGAGGATCAGATGGAACAGAGATCGTCAGTGCCCCATACCTTTATTTCAGCAAGTGAACTGCAGGCTGGTGGGGCAGATGCCTCCCTCTCCTCAGATATGTTTGAGCTTCATAAGAAAGATTACATATATATGGATTTTACATATATATGGAGGGGATCTCCGTGGGCACCAACTGATCAGGAAAGAGGTCTTAGGTTTGCGATGGATTACTGGATGAAAATGCCAACCTGTGTTTATCTCCTTTGGAAAAAAAAAGTAAAATCCATCTCAGAATGGTTAGGAAAGGGATAGAAATAATTCTGACAGTATCACAGTACCTTTCTATAAATTGATAGTGCACTTGAGTGCTGTGTAAAATTCTGCTCACCGCAAGTTAAACAGAAGATTATAGAGTTGGAGATGATGCAGGAAGAGGAAAAGCAACTTGCCTGTGAGATGGCAACATCTAGGGCATTTAGGCTTACAAAAATGGTAAGTGGGGGAAGTGACAGAGGTGTATTGAATTGTGCAAGGAGTAGGGGGAAGTACACTCATGTAATAATAGTACCGGTGGCTATCAAGTACAGCTGAATAGATAACAAGGAGAAGTACCTCTGCAGAGCCTGTAGTCTAACTAGTAATCGGCCAGCCCAAGATGTAGGGGTGGCTACCTACCTGAACAGATTAACCTGAACAGGTAGGAAGTGCTTGTGGCAGGGCATACTGCTTCCAGTGTCGGAGCGCCTTTGCATTTGAATACCAATGCCTAGGGCACAGGAGCTGGAAGGATGTGCTGTGCTCCTGTACTGCTTGTGGGCTTCTCATCGGTATCTGTGGTATTGGCCACTGTAGCAATGGTGAGCTAGACTGGCCTTTGGTTTCGTCCAACATGGTGCTCCATAGGCTCCTCTTACGTGAATGCACCTGTTTTGAACAGCGCTGTCAGTCAACTTAATTTGGTAACCTGCCCTTCTAGTTTTATTCTTTCTGGGAGAGGGGCAGATGGATGAAGGGGACACCAGATACCTGTTCCTTTTCCAGTTCTGTTCCTCCTGCTTGAGGGCCATCTTCTACCAGCTGCCCTGATGGTTGTTGCACTCTGAAAATTGTTTATTGCAATGACATTATTTTAATGTTACTTGTACGGCAGCATATGAATAACTGTAATAAATTTTTAAAAACTGAAGTAGGAGAAGAGATGAAGAAAAGAATCTTGGCAGGATAACCACAGCTGACTTATTTTAGAGTAAGGTGATGACAGATGGCAAAAACTCCAGGATAAAGATAATAAAAATCCCACACAGGAGGGTGGGGACCCCCCCCCCCCAGGTACATTTTCCCACAAAGACAGCAGTTAGCTGAGCTCCAGAAGAGAAGGTGACCAAATGAATAAAGGTAGCAACCAGATTTTTTTTTTTTAAAAAAAAAGGTCAGTGCACTCAGGTTCTTAGTAAATGTTTAGTAAGGGCCCACTTCTGCCACTCCAACACAGGAGTAACTGTATATGCTCCTTAAACTCTCTGTACAACACAGACTGAACAAACAGATATTGTGGTGTTGGGGACCCTTCAGCAGTGTATTTTCCTGGTGCACAGCAGTCAGAAGAGATGTGTAGCCAGAGCCATCTCTGCAGGGTACTGAGAGCCGGTGCCTCTGCAATACCAGCCTGCTTGCTTTGCACAGAGCCCCCAAGATGGCAGGGTTGTTCAGACAACCAAGGCATTTTGCTGCCTGAGGCAGAGCAAGAAATCTGCCCCCCCAGCCCGGCCCGGCCCGGCCCTGCAACCTCTGTCAAGGTACGTAGTACCTTTTCGTGGCACTCCAAATCAACTGCTTGAGGTAGGCAGACTGGTAGTAGAATCTTTCTTCAGTGCTGGCAATGCAACTGAAGGCATCCCACTAGCTTTGGGGGCTGAAAGGCAGAGTTCATGGCACCCAAAGCTTTTTTCTCAGCATCCCGCAGCTACCCCCTTCACCCCAAATATTTTCCCTAAGATGAGTGATTACCTAATGACAAGGCTGGCCCAGCAGGTCTACAAGGACAGGCCCCAGACTTTATCCACAGCAACACACTAGACAAGTATTTACCGTATCCCCAGTGCTACTACGACTCCCATATTGCCACACAGGGCCAGAAAAAGCACCTACCCGAAACCCGAGACACCTGCAGCAGCTCATTTTCAAACCAACACTACGGAGCTGACCTGATTTCACCTGATCCACCAATCCAAGAACACATATTGACCTATGATCGCTTTCCGGTGCTCTCTTTTCATGACCCACGAAATAAACAACACCCTGGACATCTATTGGCTTGTCCGCAAGGCGAACATGCCTCACTGCACAAACCGCCACCTGTGATCAATGGCACAGGCCCCGGCGGGAGGAAAGAGTCGAGTGCAACTTGCGAGGTGGGGTCACAGCACAGAAATGCCGCACTGTCAAAAGCACAGCCGCTTTACCTAACCAAGGGCAAGTCCATAGGCAGGTGAGGCTAGCTTTATAGCAGGTAAGACTAAATGTGAATAGCAAATAAGAGACGGGGCATCGTCCACACTTGCCCACCAACTGCACATGTTCAAAGGGTTTAAATTAGTGCTGCCTGTCGAGTGCAGGTGGAGAAGAGGCTTGAGCATTTTCTCAGGTGGTGCCCATCAGGTGGAGTCAAATTTCACGTGATTTATGGTTCAAGACTGGATTGTACTTTTCATTTTTTCAAAGAGAGACTCATCCAGTACCAGACAGATTGAACAGGACCAATATTCACATGCCCAAGCAACCACCCACAGGAACCATGACAAGAAAAGCAGAGAAAATTCGACTAAGCCAGCCTGCAATTCTTAAGGAAAGCACTGGGGCCAGAGGAGCTCACAAGGAGACCATGAACAGTTACCTGGCAGTAAATTCCATGAACACAATGGGGTTTAATTCTGAGTAGTCGAGCATAGGCTTGCTCCGGAGTCACCAAATACACACCGAGCCTCAAAGGCAGTCTAGTCCCACTAACGAGTCACCATCGAGATGCAATAAAGCAGCATGTTCAGACTTTTGCCTACCAGGGGCTTCCTCGGCCAGAACGCTGTTTATTTATTTATTTTCAGCAGGATGGAGTCACTTAAAATTATAATGAAACAGGCCGTGATTTACCGCAGTTGTTTCTACTGAGACTGTGCAGGCAAGAAAAATGACTAGAAGGTTACATTTCTCCAGTGCAGCCAGAGAAAAGAGCTACACGTGACTATATATATATATATATATATATATATATAGAGAGAGAGAGAGAGAGAGAGAGAGAGAGAGAGAGAGAGAGAGAGAGAGAGAGAGAGAGAGAGAATATTTGACTTTCAAAAAAGTCAGCGAGATGTGTGTGAGGTCTGGGTGACTCGGCACAGCCCCAGATGTTTTCAAGGTTCTCTCACAGATGCAATCTGAGATTCTTAAGCAGGGTGAGGGGGAGAAAGAGAGGACAGGATGCCACGAAGTTACACACACACACACACACACACAAACGCACACACTACTATGAATAGTGCAAAACTCAAAACTCGCCTAAGAACAAGGTGCGCCAGAGAGGTGTGAGCTGTCCAACTCGGGAAACTGATGGCGAAATGCAATCAGAAAGGTGTGCGTTTGCACGTGTGCGTGCGTGCTCGCGCGCTTTTAAGTATGCACCCGGTATGCCCAGGGCCTACAGCACGAGACCCGCAAGATTTATTTGCAGCGCTTCTCGCTTCCCCTTGAGGAGGTCGCCCTACATTTCTAGCGCACGCATCGTCTTCCGGCCGAACATCGCCAGAACAGCCCCACCTGCGCTGTCCGTCCCTCCGTCTCTCGAGTTGGAGAGATCGGGCGCTCGCCACTTTCCCATGCAAGGCTGTGCAGAAGTGCGAGAGGAAGCGGACGGACAAACAGCTACGGCGATCTCTCCCTCCCTCCCTCACCAGCCCACCCCCCGTGGGAGGAACGGCGTGTTTGGGCAAGACGTGCCGCTGCGGGAAGCCCTGGGCACGTTTGTGGGATGGATGCTGCGAACCCGGGGGAAAGTCACGCTTCCCGTTATTGCGCCCCCCCCCCCGCCTGCCCTCCTCTTCCAGCGCGACTCTTTCCGCTCCGAAAGAGCAGGGAAAGTGCCCGGGCGAGGAGCGCGCGCGCGTGGCGGCGGCGAAGGGGGGGGGGAGGGATGCATTCAGAGGTAAGTCAGGGCGATGCAAAAGAGGAAGACACACCTTTACCAAATCAAACCGCCTCACCTTTTGAACAATTCCCTTTAGCAAGGTCTAGAACCTACCCCACGCCCGCCGCACCGGAAGGCAACGTTCCAGCCCTTGGAACGTCCCACTGGCGAGAGGGCCTCTGAACGCGTGCAAAGTGCTTCTCTCCTTCCCTTCTTCAGCAAAGCAGAAATCACGACCAGCTCCTTTGCACCGACCTCGGGCGAGAGAGAAGAGTCCGAGACCGCCGCCGCCGCCGCCGCCCCGACCCGACCCCCCCCCCAAGTGTCTTCTCCCCGCCTCGGCACTGGAAGGAAAAACAGAGAGATGGGCGAGGGGTCAGAGGGATCGCAGCGTACTTACTGTACGGGCAGTTATCCTTCTTGGTGCCTTTGACGCTGCCGTCCTGGCCGATCTGGAGGAAGAACTTGTTGTGGGAATAGAGCTTCCTCCAGCGCACGTCTCCGCGGAGGTGATCGTAGCTCCGCACGTGTCTGCCCGCGCTGGCGGGAAAGGAGGAGGCGGCGGCGGCGGCGGCGGCGGCCGAGGAGGCGTTGGTGGCCTCCAGGAGCGGCAGGTCCCGGCCGTGCTCCTGGCGGGGGGCGGCCAGCGACGACATGACGAAGAGGAGCAGCAGGGGCAGGCAGCGGCAGCGGCAGCGGCCCCGGCCGGAGGGCGAGGAGGAGGCGGAGGAGCGCGGGGAGGAGGAGGAGGGCAGGTGGGCGCAGGCGGAGGCACTCCGTGTCAGTCTCCATTTGCACATTGTCCTGAAGCTCTGGGCGCTGGGAGATGATGCCTCATGAAAAGAAACATACTGGACGGGTGGCCACCGGGGAGGGGCGCGGAGACGGCCGGTGCGGAGGTCTGCTCAGGGCCCGCGGAGCTGCGATCTGGCCTGGCGGGAGGGCAGCGACTTCCATGCCGCAGGGGCGACGCCGTCCAGGACTCGCTTGCCTCCCCCCACCTCTCCCTCGGCTTCTTCCTTCTCCTCCTCCTCCTCCCCCTTCCTCGGCTTCCCTCCGCTTTGCTCCCCTCGGAGTAATCCTGCGGATCCTGCAAGAAAGGCTCGCCGGCTCGCCTTTTCCCCTGGCGAGCGGAGCCCGCCGCTTGGATGGCGAATTCTCCTTGCGCGCTTTCTCGGTCTCTCTCGCTCTGCTTGGTTTTTAACCCCAGGACACCGTCTCCCAGTGGGGTGGCCGTGGGAGGTTATTTCGCTCTCTTCCTCACTCTTGTCTGCACCATTTTCTTAGAAAGGCAGGCAAAGTCTGAAATAGAAGGAGGCGGAGGAGGAAAAAAAGAAGGAAAAGAAGAAAAAGAAAGCGAGAGGGAGAGGTGACAGGCGAATGAGCAGCAACGCTTGTAGCAGGGGAAAGGGTGAGCAGGGAGGGCTTGCTTTGCTTTTCTTCAAATCCGAATCAAACGCGGCAGCAAACGGAGAAGACTGGAGGGTGCCGTCCCGCACGCACGCCCAGCCCTTCGAAGTCCTGCACCTTGTTCTCGCCAAAGGCCGGCAACGCAGTTCGTCTCAGTGACAGCAGGCAGAGTTGGTTTCTCTTCTTCCCTCCCTGGAATCCTCCATATATATTTATATATATATATTTATATATATTTATATATGGAAATAAGGAGGGGGGAAATCAGACAAGTCCTTTCCTCCCCTGTCCTTGGGTTGCCAACAGGTTGGAAGCTGTATCCTAAATGCTCGCGATTACGACGCGGAGAGGTGAGACGTGCCTCTGGTGGTCAAGTTTTATTTGCAGGGGGTCAAGCAGCGGTGCTGGGACATTTGAAACCCCTTTGCAGCGAGTGCCTGCTGGGAGGAAGAAAGACACAGAGAAAGAGACTCCACCAAGTTCTGCCTTTTTTTTTTTTTTCTGCTTCCCCTCCTGCAGCAGCAGCAGCAACAACACGCAGTCTTCAGCTAATTGCCCCTGAAGCAGTTCTTCTGGCCACCAGCATGGCTTGGAGACTCATTCTTTACTAATTTCCTTGTCTTCCAGGCTCAGCCAATCCCCTCTAGGGAGCCCCCTCCTCCCTCCTTATTTTAAAAAAACTTGTTTTCTAGAGAAGGATTTTTATTTTATGTTTTTGGCAGCGAGCAGTTGAGAGCCACCTGGTACTTGCTGCTTTGCTGAGTCTCTCTCCCTTTCTCTCCTCCCCTTGAAGAAAGGAGGTGGGTGGGTAAGATTTGGAAAGAGGAATACAGTGCAGGCAGTACACATCCTGAAAAGCAGTTTATAAGTCGCTCAGCATCTGTCCGTCTTCTGTCTACCAATCGATCCATACACCCGCATCAAGCGTTCCCTTTGCTTCCTCTCCTGCTAACTTCCCTGGAGGTCTCCCCCCCCTCTCTTTTCCCCTCTCCCATTTGGTTTATAATACATTTGTATTTTCTGGCTGAAATAAAAGGGTGGGAATCACACTTTTAAAGCATATTCTTCTTTTTGGCATCCCAAGATTTCTCACTCCCAGCTCTCCATGAAATTAGGCCCTAAAATGGCCAATTTCTAATTGCTAACACGACTCAACTTACCGAATCACGCTTTCGACTTCAAAAGAAAATAACAGGGGAAAGGGGGGTGGGGGCTTTTATTGGCATTGCAAAGGTTTGGCCATAAACTCTGTCTGTTTCTTTTTTATTTATTTTTTATTAATGCAATTTCCTTTACCAGAAAGAGGCACATTTTCCATTTGATTTTTTTCGAAGTCATCTATTGTTTTGAAAGGGCGGGTGGTGATTTATTTTCCGCAGAAGGTGCTGTTATTATCCACCCTTCCCCATGAATTTGTCATGTTCCGCAAGAGCTATTATGACAGATATACTAGTCTTTTCCTGTGATGATCCCTGTTGTTGCCAACACTTAATTGGGCTCCTAGGGTGGGATGTGCTAGATTTGAATACCTACCTCTATGCTAAAAGGAGATGAAAAATTGTCTCTCTGGACTCCCTGCCAATCCCCAAGGAAGAGGACTTCCCAATTACACTCTATTTGCATTTAACTGATAGAGTAGGTTACAAGTTGCAGCACCAGAACGTAAAAGCTATGTGCACGTTCACCAGTCAGCTATTGCAAGATGAGGACCAATGATTTCACGGTCTACAGAAATGCTACAACAGGAAATAACAGCCCTCCCAAAAGAAGAAGGAAAGAAGAATCCAATTCTCTCATCTGTAAACAAAGGATTTGCTTGGAAGAAAGTGTGATCTAAAGAAAATGCTACTCGGTGGAATGCAATAGAAAAACAGCCAGGCCATTATATCGTGTGCATTTGGAATCAATCTTTCCTTGACTAGCAGAACATACGTTCAGAACAAATAGTTCTCAGATTGGATTAATTCATTAGCTTATGTTTTAGAGTATATTGGTAATGCTGCAGTAGAAAATTAGAAATGATTTTCTGCAATTATGATAGGTACTGAGTGAACAAAGACTCATTTCTGAAATGTATGGCGCTTGATTCTAGTGGAAACATTGCAACAGCCTTCAAAAGGAAAGAAAGAGAAGGCCAGCTCTGGAACCCATGTCTTCTATTACATGGGTTGTGCTACTCTGAAATATGTGCTCTTCAGAGTGGAAGCCTGTGATAAATCCTTTTGAAAGTGGTGAGCTTGCATTTGACAGGGCATGTTTGGTTTACGGAAAATAATAACAATTGTGAAACATTTGTCAGAGGTACTTTGGGGAATATTTATATGTTTGTAATTTTTATAATTATTTATTGATATAATGTACTTCCCAATAACCAAGGTTCTCTGGATGGCTTGCATGAAAATCATGCAACTGCATAAAGGCATCAGAAATTATGGCATGTCTTCTCTCACCTTTTTTATTCAATGATGTAAATCATTGCTTTATCCCCAGTGGAACTTACATTTCTTGATATGCTTCCTATTAAATATTTCCACCAATATTTCAGTCCAGGGAATAGAATGACCCCATTTATAAAGATGCTTTTACCTTAAATCTAGCAAAAACAAAGGCAACCAGTAGAATCAAACTTCTGCATATGCTCATCCATGCACCTAGATGTGAGTTTGGACATGTAGAATGATTAGTGATGTTAACTGGATTCAAACAGCATGACAACTGTGTTTGGTATCAGGGGCTGTTTTCAGACAACATGCTAACTTACACTCAAGGGTTGACTAAGATTAAGTGTGGGCTGTTACTGAACCATGGATTGTTATTGAAAGGTTCACAACCTGAAAGCAATCAATAGTTCTCTTTACGGGCTGTTTCTGGTTAACAAACCATGGTTTGTTAATGAGATTGTGTTCTATCAACAAACTATTCTGCAAACAAAACCCAACACTCAACCCCTACTCAACCCTTGCCTGAATGTTGCCTGAACCCAGTCAAGGGCTGAATATGGGTTGAGTTTGGGTTATTGTTGAAACATGGGTTATTATGTTGTCTGAATGCAGCTGCTCTGATAAGACATGGATTGTTAACCAGGAAAAGAACTCTTGGTTTGTTATTGTATTGTGAACTACAGCCTGTTGATCATGATTTGTTAACTTGACTGAGCCAGATAACACAATAACACATGTTTCAACAACAACCCATAACTCAGTGACCACCCACCCTTGACCCTTGAGTGTGGGTTATGATTATGTCTGAGTTCAATGTTTGTGCAGATAGTATAAAACTGATTAGTGTGTTTTATTTAAACAAAATCTATGATGCAGTTGAGATGAAAATGCATTTTGTTTATTAGTAATACTAATTTATTAATCACCACTGCATTTCATTTAGCAGTCCTATCCATGAATGTTTTTTGGAAGTGCCATGGAATTCAATGAGACTTAGTAGGCATACATAGGCTTACAACCTCTTGATATGCAAAATACTCTCAGGTTATCTGTTGGCAACATATATAATGTCTAATTATGATATTTACAATTCCATTTTTTTAAAAAAATTAAACACTATTGATTTTTTTCTTCCTAAATGGATCTAGGCAGAATCAATTTACAGTTTTGCTTTGATTGTATGAAAGAAATGCTTTACTTAAAATAACTTTAGAAACTGTTGCATCAAATCCAGTCACAGCAGGTGCAATATTTGGTGAAGAAACACTCATAGGTTCCTTTTTTCTCTATACTGTGTGATGACAGGATGGGCATTTACTAAACAGAGGCCCAATGAAAAGCTGACGCAGCTCTTTAGATTGTATCTTGCTCCTTTTTCCTCCTTTCTGTATAGCCTTTCTTTTACAGCACAGTTGAGTCCCTAAGTCCCCTACTTCTCTGCATTGTTAGCTCTCATGTTAGCCTGGAAAAGCCTGAGAAAAATTGCAGAGGAAAGATGCACTATTTAACGGAATTCAATCTGTCCCAATAGATCTGAATCACTAACATAAATGTATGAATGTAGATTATATCTCTGTAATGAGGCCTGAATCATTCTCAGTTACTTCAAAGCACTGAAATTCAACCTTCCTTTCTAGCTGCAACAATCAGACCTTAATGGGTTCCTTTATTAATTGTTCCTCCTGCTAGGTTTGAAAGGGAGCTATCTTCAATCCAGGCCTAGGTTAGAAGACGTACTGACTATCTCTAAAATTATTTTTTCCTTTCTCTCTTTTTTCTCTTTTTCTCTCTCTTTCACTCTCTCTTTCTTCAAGGCCATTGAATACTACATATCTCAGTCACCTTGATGCTCTCTTACAAATGTTTGGTAACCCTGACACCTCCCTATTGTGGTGGGTTTATCCTATGATGTAGTAAACAGAAAATAGGCAATGCAATTTACAGATGATCAGTGAGTTTCAGTGTTGCTGTTCTGACATAACATTGTTAGTTGTGCACTGCACATAGAAACAGAGTGCGTCAGAGGGGGCTCCTGGGCCGTCTAGTCTGATCCCCAACTCCAGCTGGCTCTGCTCGTGACATGCCTACCATATGTATGTCCAACCTATCCTTGAACACTTTCACTGATGGGGGCTTCACCCACTTCCTGTGGAAGCCCATTCCATACCCTAGGGCCATCTAAAAGGAACCCTCATAAGACCATTAGGGCTTTGTTGTTGTTGTTGTTGTTAGTCGCAAAGTCGTGTCCGACCCATCGCGACGCCATGGACAACATTCCTCCAGGCCTTCCTGTCCTCCACCATCCCCTGGAGTCCACTCAAGCTCACACCAACTGCTTCAGAGACTCCATCTAGCCACCTCACCCTCTGCCGTCCCCTTCTTCTTTTGCCATCTATTGTTCCCAGCATTAGGCTCTTCTCCAGGGAGTCCTTCCTTCTCATTAGGTGGCCAAAGTATTTGAGTTTCATCTTCAGTATCTGGCCTTCTAAAGAGCAGTCAGGGCTGATCTCCTCTAGGACTGACCAGTTTGATTGTCTTGCAGTCCAAGGGACTCACAGGAGTCTCCTCCAGCACCACAATTCAAAGGCTTCAATTAGGCCTAGGATCTAAAATTTCTTAGCTGCACTGCTGTACCAGGAACAGGAGGCTGCCTTATACCACAGAATTATAGTACTAGAGAATTCTAGAAATGGAAGGGGCCAGTA